ATGTCTGTCTCTGCTTCCATCAGCCACTGGATGAGGACTCTAGGATGGCGTAAAGAGAAGTCATCAATCTCATTTTAGGGGAAGGGCTTTTAGGTTATCCTCTCCACCATTGCCTGGATTGTCAGATCGTGTCATCCTTGTAGGTCTCTGGAAATTTGAGCAGCTCAGCGGCAGCTGGAACTCACTTGTATGGTGCAGCGTGTCAGCTGCGAGCCTGGAGCATCTGTGGAGACAGGGCGCTTTCCTGGCCTAGGCTGCTGTCTCTGTGGGACCCGCAGGCTGTCCCAAATGGAGCATAGGTTTCCAATACCCCACTCCTGACACCAGATAATGTGGGAAATTACCAATACGGAGTCAGGTAGAAATACAAGGGTATTTAATAGGGAAAAGCCTTACTTACAGAGTTACCTAGCCGGCCGGCGGGCAGCAGTCTGTACAGCAAGCCGAAAGGTGAAGCTGAAACCGCAACCAGCTACCTGACCGCCTCTCATTCTGTGTCACCCTGACCTCGCCCTCAAAGGCATGGTCAGGCACACCTGTAGCCAGCCCCTAAGCAGGCGTGGCTATAGGTTCCCTTACAGGTATTCTGTTAGGTTCTAAGTCAAATGGAATGCCATGTGAGACATGCATCTTATTAGCCCTGGTTTTCAGATCCTTCTTCAGCTCAGCTTGGGGCTCTGCATGTCACTTAGTTCTGAAAACATCCTGTGGTGAGATGTGAATGAGATGGCTCCATAGGCTCACATTCAGAACTGTCTGGGAAGGATGAGGAAGTGTAGCCTTGTTAGAGGAGGTGTCATGGGTTGGGGGGGGGATTGAGATTTTAAAAGCCCACAGCCTTCCCAGTTGGTTCTTTGTCGACCCCCTGCTTATGGATCAGTTACAAGCTCTTAGCTACTGCTGATCCAGCACCAAGGCCTATCTGCTGCTGCTGTGTGTGCCCTGCTGTGATGGTCATGAACTTCAACCTTCTGAAACTATACACAAGCCCCTAGTAAATTCAGTCTTTATGTTACCTTTGCTGTGGTGTCTCCTCAAAGCCATAGAAAAGTAACAACACATCTTCGCTCCAGAAAATGGGCAAGAGAAGTAGTCTTTTGTTTGTTTGTTTGTTTGTTTTTTCAAGACAGGGTTTCTCTTTGTAGCCCTGGCTGTCCTGGAACTCACTCTGTAGACCAGGCTGGCCTGGAATTCACAGATATCCACTTGCCTCTGTCTCCTGAGTGCTGGGATTAAAAGTGTGCACCACTACTACCAGGCGAGAAGTAGTCTTGAATGGGCTTCAGTGTTTGCTAGCTCAGAAAGTGTAGTTTGAAAGAGGTCTGAAAGACCTCCCTCAGTGGTCATGCTAGTTAATGAGTTATCTGTGAACCAGCTAATCTGGGTGTCTGTACCAAATCATTGCTGGACAGATAGGCTTTATTAAACTAAATTACTATAAATTCTAGGATGATCCTGATTCTCAGAGTGACATATTGCCCCAGAAACATCTTAATAACTAAAGTTTTAAATTACTTGATAGTCCTAACCTATATTAATGTATAATTCTTTGATAACTGGATCATAGGATTAGATGAATTATTTTTACTAAATTACATATTTGCTTGATGTCACTTAATATATCCACAATAAAAATATGATATTCATTTACATTTATATGTACATATTTATTTCATATTATTTATTAACTCAAAATGCAGCCCCATGAGGGACTTTCTGATGTTTGAGTTTTTGACTTACAAATGAGATCTGATTGTATACTGGAGAGTTTTTATTTTGACCTTTGTGATATGGATGGCTACTCTGTTTTCCTAAAGATCAGGTTATTTGTGTTATTTTCAGATTTAATTTAAGCTTCAGAATGTTTTGACTCTTGTGTTGTTGAATTGATCACGAGGGATCTAAAAGACAAATTTGCCCTCTACAAAGTGTGATGTCACATAACATGTTAATACACACCTTTCTCTTATATCCTTATTGGTCTTTTTCCTTAACTCTCTTAAGTTTGATCTCATTGAGACTGTTTCTTTGGAAGCTCCAAGGACCGTTTGTGAAACATAAGTAGATGAGATTCAGGAGACTGCTGAATTGGGTGTAGTTGTTGGGCTGTGTGGGTGTTCCTTCCCAATTCGAGACCCTTTAGTACAGTGTCTTATGTTGTGGTGACCCCAGCCATAAAGTTAATTTGTTGCAACTTCATAACTATAATTTAATGTAAATATCTGATGTTACCCCAAAGGGGTCATGACCCACAGGCTAAGAACTGCTGATCTAGACAGACTGGAAAAAAGTTACAATGATGAGTCATAAAACATAAGGTTTTTTATTTTTTGTTTTTTTGCAAGTCGGGGGGATAGTTCAAGACCGGGTTTCTCTGTGTAACAGCCCTGGCTGTCCTGGAACTCATCTGTAGACCAGGCTGGCCTCCAATCACTGAGATCCACCTGCCTCTGCCTCCTGGGTGCTGGGATTAAAGATGTGCACCCCCACTGTCCGGCTTACATATTTTATTTTAAGAAATATAAATATACATTTCAAAGTCAGTTTCTCTTTTTTGTTGTTAGTGGTGGTTCTTAAGACACAATTTCTTCTGTGTAGCCAAGCTACCTCAGCCTGGAGTGCTGTGTTTGTAAATAGGCACCACCACAGCCAGCTAGCCGCTCTCGTGATACAAGAATAGAACTTTTCGTCTAAGAGGTTCCTACTAGTCTTTCTTTCATCACCTCAAATAAGGTGTTTTTATTTTCTCAAAGCATGGTGAGATGTTTTGAATACATGTAAAGAAGTAAATACGAGGGCTGAAAAAAGTTACGTTTTCTATGCATTCAACAATTGATTTAGCTGCTTGCCTCTATTGTATCTTCTTTCATAGTATTTTTCTACTGAAACTGTAAACAACCTCTGCATTCCTGTTTCAGTAGTGTGTATATTTAAACATAAGATCATGAAACTGGCTAGAGCAGATGTTACCATAAACACTGAAAAGCCTCAGAAGCTCCAGACAATAGTTCTTCTTAAGCTCTTTTCTGTTTCAAAAAATTTATAAAGCTTTCTTATATTTTACCATAATGCATGGAAGTGAGAAGACAGAATTATCAGAGAGAAAACATGAAAAAAAAAGGTTGCTTTGTAACAT